CATTGAATCAGGAGTGAGATAATTTATTATATAATTATTTATTTAATAATTATAATAATGCGCGCCTGTAAGAATGCAACCCTCCAGACACACTTTGAAAATGTTGCTTGCGAACACTATCTACTGGGACGGAATTTTTTTGATGCCCAAACTGTTCATACACGTCTATCTTTCGGGCAGAAAATTCAAAGTGTGTCTGGAGAGTTGCACTCCTACAGGCGTAATGTTTTTATAAATAATAATAATAACAATGGAACTTTTATTTTGTAATTAATACGCTTCGTAGTATGCAGTTGCATACAAACACATTCTATCTCATTCTCTCTTAGACTAAATCCTATAGATCTATATATGTTTGTTTATTTCTTTTTCAAATCACCCTCATTCTAAAGAAGTTTTTACTTCTAAAAGAAGATCGTTTAGTTTCTATTGAAAGAGTTTTAGCCTGAAGGTAATAAGAAGAAGATTGCGTTTATCAGTGAAACTTTAAGAACCGTCGTTTTCCTTCAGATGAATGTTTACCAAAGGTTTCGCGATCCTTGAATTATAGATGGATTGCTACGACTCAATTTCAAGCAACGGACGCTCGTCGTGCCTTTCCTTGCTTCGATGAACCAGCCATGAAAGCTAAATTCCAGATTAGCATAGGTCGTCCTAGAAATATGACATCTATTTCGAATATGCCGAGAAAAGGACAACCTGAACCAATGTGAGATATTTAAATTATTTATTCGTTTATTAATAAGTAAGAAAAAATCAAAGCATTGATTATTATTATTATTATCATCATCGATAGGCCTGGTTTACCCACGTACGAATGGGATCATTATGAACAATCCGTACCAATGTCTACTTATTTGGTAGCTTTTATAGTTTCTGACTTCGAAATGTTAAAATCGGAGTCTAGAAACTTCAGAGTTTGGGCACGCAAAGAAGCAATTAACCAATCTCACTACAGTTTGGATATCGGACCGAAGATACTTGAATATTACGAGGATTACTTTAAAATAAAGTTTCCCCTGCCAAAAATGGATATGGTTGCTTTACCTGATTTTTCAGCTGGAGCTATGGAAAACTGGGGATTGATCACTTACAGGTAACTCGMGTAAAAGTTTTTATCTCCTTTTTTTTTTTTTTATTCCAAACTATCGGATAATTTAATAATTTTTGTTTATAATTTGAATGAATATGATTACAGAGAAACGGCTATGTTGTATCAAGAACGAGTATCAACCAGTAGCAATTTGCAAAGAGTAGCAACAGTAGTGGCTCATGAATTGGCACATCAATGGTTTGGAAATTTAGTAACACCAAGTTGGTGGTCGGATTTGTGGTTGAACGAAGGATTCGCCAGTTACGTGGAATACATCGGAATGAACGCGGTTAGTGATCATAAATTTTTTCTGTTTTATTTCTTTTTATTTTTTTTTTTTATTTTCTTGTTTATTTTTACGAAACAAATATTGATACGATATTTTAGGTAGAACCATCGTGGAAAGTTTTAGAACAATTTGTGGTTAACGATGTTCAATCGGTCTTTGGATTAGATGCTTTACAATCTTCTCACCCTATATCTATAGAAGTTGGACATCCAGATGAGATTAGTGAAATTTTCGATAGAATTTCTTACGAAAAAGGTGCACCACGATTGAAATATATCATTGAAAGATTTCAATCTCAATTACATTAATCTTCACGTTTTGCAGGTGCTTCTATCCTCAGAATGATGGATCATTTTCTTACAACGGATGTTTTCAAACGAGGACTCACGAATTATTTGACAGAAAAGTAATTAATTATTTAATTAATATTAATTTTTAAGATTAAAATAAAAATCAACATATTTTCATATTTATTTTTCTATAGAGCATACCAAAGTGCCGAACAAAACGATTTATGGAACGCTCTTACGAAACAAGCGCATAAGGATAAGGTTTTAGATCCAACTATTACGGTCCAACAAATTATGGATACATGGACCCTTCAAACTGGTTTCCCCGTAGTTACCGTAACACGAAATTATCTTAATGGTGCTGCCACTCTAACTCAGGTTGGTTTATTTTTTGCTCTATCTATAATCTGTAAGAGTTTCCTTTAACTTTGTATCTCTTTAGGAACGTTTCATGCTCCAAAATAGTTCTATGACTACTAAGAAAGAACCTGAACCACTTTGGTGGATTCCTATTACGTACACGAACGAACAAGAATTAAATTTCAATAGGACTCAGCCTAACCATTGGATGAAAGCAGAACGTACGGTTAATTTGCCGAGTTTAAATGCTACCGCACATCAATGGGTTATTTTCAACGTCCTTGAAACCGGTACTTATATATATATATATATTATTTTCTTGAAATTTTGAATTCTTTATAAAAAAATTAAATCAATTTAACAGGTTACTATCGAGTCAATTACGATAGAGCTAATTGGCAATTAATTATAAAACAGTTAAATAAGGATAACTTCAAGGACATATCGACGATCAATAGAGCACAGTTGATCGATGATGCTCTCAATTTGGCTAGAGCAGGTAGACTAGATTACTCGATTGCTTTAGACGTCACATCTTATTTGGCACACGAGACCGAATATTTACCATGGAAATCTGCCCTAACTGCATTGAATTATTTAGACGATATGTTAATAATGTTACCTGGTTACGATAAATTTAGGGTATGTGAAAACATTAATAGATTTTCATTGGAAATTTGATATTATCGAATATAACAATTTGATTTATTCTTTAAGCTTTACACACTGGAACTTTTGGATAATGTGTACAAGCAAGTTGGATTTTCGGACAAACCTGGTGATCCACAATTAACAGTATTTACAAGAATCGATGTTCTTAATTGGGCATGTACTTTTGGTCACGAAGACTGCGTTGGTAATGCAGCTAATCAATTTTACAATTGGCGTAAAACGCCAGATCCTGATACGAATAATCCGTAAGTGACTAACTCGTTATCTTCTTTTTATTTAAAAATAAAAAAAATGAAAAAGAGTGAATAAGATTATTTTTTTCTTGTAAATTAAGAATTTCACCAAATCTGAAGAGTGTGGTTTATTGTACCGCCATACGGGCGGGTGGTCAAGTCGAATGGGACTTTGCTTGGCAAAGATACTTAAATACCAATGTGGGCTCGGAAAAAGACTTGCTATTACAGGCCCTTGGTTGTAGTCGAGAAGTTTGGATCTTAAGTAGATATTTAGATTGGGCAGTTACTGAAAATTCTGGTATCAGAAAGCAAGATGCAACGAGAGTCTTCGGATCTGTTGCTAGAAATGTTATCGGTCATCCTCTGGCTTTCAATTATCTCAGGAACAAATGGAGTCGTCTACTAGAATAGTACGTTTTTCAAATTTGATCATTTTATTTTTTAAGTCTCAAGAATTTTTCATTATAACTCTCAATCTTTTCTTTTAGTTTCGGTACTTCATTACTTTTGATGAACAATATCATTAAATCAGCGACCAGAGGTATCAACACAGAGTATGAACTCAACGATGTAAGTTTTTTCATATTCCAATTGTTTCTATCTTTTGCAATCGTAAATAATATTATATTTCATTTCTTATAGTTAACCGATTTCATAAATGAGAACAAAAATGAACTTGGTAGTGCAACCAGAACCGTCCAGCAAGCTGTAGAACAAGCTCAAGCAAATATACGATGGTTAGACAATAATTACGTGACGATTCGTGATTGGTTGCAAAGAAATACCGCGTAATCCTGATCAAATGATTACTATAGGTATATAATGATCATTGATTGTTCAAATGCCGCATTTAAAATAGCGGATTATCGTGGTACGTCGTTTTAATATTGATGAAAGTCGTAATACGTTTTTAAAACATCTTTTGCAACTCGCATCTCATTTACTCTGGTTAAGCATATATGCTATTAAAAAAAAAAAAAAAAAAAGAAAAATTGATACGAACTTAATGTTTAAATAAGTTCCCAAGAGAGTATAATATTTAAGCGTTTTTATATGTATCTGTAAATATGTGCGCGACATTAATATGTGTATTATACGAATAATATTTAGAGTATACGTCACAATGATATGAAAGAGGCTAATGATTTATGGATAATCGTGAATAATATAATGTGAAATAAATAATAAAACAATGAGTGATTGTTGAAGAAAAAAATATATTGGCCAAAATATTTTTTCTTTCGTCATATTATAAATCCTTACGATACAATTTTTAAATATCTTTATTTTAACGAACATATATAAATATTATTTTATAGATAAATTCGTTGGAAGAAAAACATTTCGAAAGATTTATTTGTAAAAAATCATAAAACGTATGATATTTTAATTAGAAATAATTGTTTTATTGTTTTAATACAATCAAAGATAATTTGAAAATGATAATTCATGCCGCGCAGAAGCAAAGAGAGAATTTGAGGTGCGCGCGCACATCTGACATGCGCAATTCTTACTTTCATTTCTCGAGTTGTTTTGTTTTGTTTTGATGATTATGCCGAGTGTCTTGCAATCTCACGTGTCTGCAATTCCTTCAAGGAAGGGTAAGAAATAAAATCCGTGTTTATGGAAATTAATTAAGTGGTCTCATTAATTTTTATAGTCAATGCTATTACTCAGTTACTTTTTTTACAGTAATTAGAAATATTTGATAAAGTGGATTGATCTATTAAAACAAATGATAACATAACAGGTACTCATATATTTATTTTGTTATATATAACAATATTTAATAAATTACATTTGAAATTGTCATTATTATAAGTTCAATTTGAATTATTAGATGATTTGGAAAATCATTTCGTTTTTTGTTGACGCAATAATGCCATTAGTTGATGCAAATCGACAAATAGTAACACGTGAGATCGATGAGAGTTTAAATTTATCAAATTCAACTATTTATGATCACTTGAAAGGTTGAGGTTTTTAACCTCGAAGTAAAAATTATCTTCATTTTTACAAAATAACAACGAAAACGACTTTCCGAACCATCTCTAATATTTTTAACATTATTTGTCATATGTTACTTTTTTACAGTTTTTATATCAAACAAAATGATTTCTATTTGAATAAAAGAAGCGACATCAAAGATAGAATGGTAAGAAAAACGATGTTTAAATTTGAACTTCCTGAATTGCCATTTGAATTATTCGTGTTCGGTCTTCTCTGGTTAAATAAATCTTCTAATATCGATTCTAATTGTGATGGCAATCGTTGATTTGTAAATATTATTTTTTGTGCAATTTCTGTAGCTTCTAACAATGCAGCAGAGATTGGTGCAAGAGCTTTCTCGTTATTTTGCTTAAAGAATTCAAACTGAAATAAAGAAAAATTTATATTTTAAACCCGTATCATAAATGAAACAAAAAAAAAATATATATATATATATATATATATATATGTGTGTGTGTGTGTGTGTGTGTGTGTGTATTAATAAAATACCTTATCAAGTGTTTGTGTATCAGGAATACGTATTATAATTTGATAAAATAATGCGCCAACTTGATTCCAATTGCCCATCCTAAAAAAATACACAATAAATGAGTTTTAAGATGAATCATAATATAATAATCGATAACTTACCAATTATAAATTTGTTGATAATGAGTAGTTAGATATTGATAACATTTTTTCCATCCTTTATCGCTAGATTTGTATATGGATGCAAAAGCTCTTGGAATATCTTCTTTTCGTACGTATCCTAATCCATTAAGATTGAAGATGTGTTCAAGATATCTAATCAGATATAAATAACAATGATATTATCAAAATCCTTTCCCTAATAATATAATGTTATTAATTCGAACTGTAAAAATAATGTAATTAAAAACTTACATATTTAAACTATAATCATTTTCTGTACATCCTAAAGCATCTAAGTAAATAAGTTGTTCAGAATGTAATTTTATTTCTGTATATTCTGTCCATAATCTTATCCAATCAGTTTCATACCGATGTTTTATGGTTGTACAAAGGACTGCAGGTTTGGCATTCCGTGAAATTCTGTATAAATGTATTTATATGTTAAAACATTGTTTTATCTATTATAGATTTTTCTTGAAAAATATTAAATGAAAAACAAAAAAAAAAAAAAGAAAATGATTATACGTACGTTTTGAAATGCAAAGCATTCCTGAATATATTTATCGATTCGTTGATACAAGCTTTACCACCAAATTTGCAATTTAATTTAAGTATTAATTCTCTGTTTAATTGATTTTCTTTACCACGTTTTTCCATTGTATCAAAATCATCATTAGTGTCATTAAATCCAAGTCTTTGAACGTGCTCATCCGTTAAATACAACACGTATTTCTGAAGACGCTCGGTATTTTCAGAATGTCTTACCTGTTCCCAGAGATAGTTGATACCACGTTCGAATGCCTTCCAAGGTAAATGTTCAGTTTCTTGACGCAAATAAAGTGCCAATTTGAGAGCCTTAGAATATGTATTTCTAGATCGAGCCAAATTGAATGCATCATCGATAATTTGTGCACGATTTATCACGTGAATCATTCTATAATTGGCACTATTTAAAACATTTATTAATCTTATCATTAAATTATTATCATATTCCACTCTATAATATCCAACTTGTTGTACATTTAATACAATCCATTGATTTTTTAAATCATATTCAAATGTCTTTTCAGTTCTGCTTAACCAAAATTGTGGCTTGGTATTATCAAAATCTGGATTATTCTCTGTAGCTATGGAAATGGGTATGTGGAAGTGAGAAGGTCCATAATATGTGTAATACAAGAATCGTTCCTAAAATGAAAAAATGTTTAAATGGATTTGTTTATTTAAAAATTATAATTCTTATTATTAATATTAATGAGTTTTCATCGTACCTGAGTAATCCTAATTTCTCCTGGTTTAGAGTAATAGATAGATACGACGGGATAACCAGGTTTATCAACCCATTCACTCATCGTTGTTTCTAAAGAAACATTCCTTTGTATATAACCATCTAAAGCATCCCAAAGTTTATTTGGATTAACTGTTCCATATTTATATTGATTAAGATATCTCCTAATGGTATAATAAAAGTTGTTTTCTCCAGCGAGCGTATGAAGCATGCGAATAATACTAGCACCTGTACATAGTACATAGAAATAATTAAGTAAAGTTTGAAATACAATCAATAATTTTATCTTGATACCTCTACCTTTTTTATAGGAGATTACATCAAATGGTTTTCTTAAATCTTTAGGATGCGAAACAGGATAATTCAATGGATGAGAGTATATGAAACCATCGATATCAAAAGCATCGTGCATATCATTAACCATAAAATGATTTATAAATTCAGTCTCATCTACTGCCTGTTTAGAATATATCAAATAATATGAAATATAATTAAATATTTATTTAAATATCATTATAAATTAAGAATAGATTATACTTCTAGGAGCAACCATTGAAGATATTGGGCAAATCCTTCGTTCAACCAAGTATAACTCCACCATTCGCAAGTAACCAGATTTCCAAAATATCTATGAGACATTTCGTGTGATATTGTTGTCAATATGGAATATCTTTGCGATGAAGGTGCAATATTTTTATCATAGAATAGTTGAGATTCCCTAAATAAAATAAAATCAATTAATGCTAGTGTCTCAAATAAATATGATTTTAATTGTAAATAATAAAATGTTTATACCTAAAAGTAAAAAGACCCCAATGTTCCATCGCCCCTATTGGAAAGTTTGGCAATCCGATAAAATCTAATTTTTCTAATTCATCCATTTGTATAAATTTTTGATTAATACTTTTATAATATTTATAAGCAGCATACTGTGCTTCATCACCATAATCAATGGCATCTCTTCTTCCCCAAATATTGAATTTTTCTTTATCGTTATTAATTGGCAGGAAACTACCAACAACGAATGACACTAAATACGTAGACATATTGAAACTTTCCTTGTAAATATCCCACGTGTAATCCGTGCTAAACATAATAATTTATGTTAAATTAATTTTCTGATTAGTAAGATAGATAAGTTTCATTTTGAAATACTAACTCGTTAGGATATGATCTTTCAAGAGGCATATTACTTAAACTTTTATAAAACTTGAATCGTAAGATATGAATTTTAAACTTGGCCTTGAAAGATGGTTCGTCAAAGCATGGAAATGCCATTCTGGCATAATTTGGTTGGAAATAAGTGGCATAATAAGTGCTAAAAAAAAAAATAAAAATGACATTAAAATTGAAGTTCAGATGTTTGTTACAACACTAAATCTAATCTTAAGATTTGATAAAAAAAAATTTCATAATTTTATACATACTAATATTTGTAGCGTTCGAATTTAGCACTATACAATCCTTTCATTTCTTTATTATTGATTTTGATATTTTCAAAATCTATTGCCACGGTTATTTTTGGTACTTCGATATAATTAGAAAGATAAATGATCAGCTGTTGATTTTTTTCGTTTAATTGATAACCAAGAATGTTGAAATATTTCCGATCATCGTCAATATTTCCAATAGGAGTTTCATAAACCATTATCGTTGGTAGAATATCGAGTTCATAAGAATTAAGAATTATTTTGTATGTTGGTTTATCGACTCGAATATTTATTTCAACGGATCCTTGAGGTAATTCATTGTTTTTTATGATTATCGAGAGATTGTAATTAAGTGGATAAAGTGTTGTAGGTAAACGATCATTATTTAAAGGATAAGACTTTTCCAACCAATATGATATCTTTGGTATATTTTTTTTATACCAATTAAGTTCGTAAAGTATAAGATCGTTATATGATTGTAAAGTATTATTTAACGTTGGAACTTTGCTCACAATATAATTCGTCAAATATTTATACTGCAATATAATAATATATTAATTTATTTTTTTTTGTAATTTTATTAAAAATTATAATAATATATATGTACCTGTTCATAAAGCTCTTCTGTTGATATTCTTTCTGCGAGTCCTCCCATAATACTTTGTATTGCAGATTCATCTTCATAACTGTAATATATATATATAATTTAATTTTTAATATTATGTATATTCATATTTTAAACAAAAAAAAAAATATATTTGAGCAATAAGGAAATATTTTTAAAAAGAGAAATTTAATTTAATATAACATACTATTGATAAACATTTTCAAACGCCATCGTCAAATATCTCAGAACAGTTTTTACACCAATTTGGGAGCTCTCGTAAACTGAAGCAAAAACCCCAATGCTGTCTCCATATCTTATATCGGAATTTTTCGTTAACGCTCTATTTAACAACCTATGAATAAAAAAATACACATCGTTTGTATCAATTGTTGACAAAAATAATGTAATCATAATATAATCATAATTATTTTACGTGTTAATAAGAAGGGTATGTTCTGTACAACCCAATGCCTTAAGAATTACACGTTTTTCTGATGTGACAGTAGAATTTACATATTTTTCCCAAAAGGCGTTAAAATAATAATGATTTTTAACCTGTTCACAATATTTACCAGGTCTATCATTCGGTGATATCCTAAATAATTAACATAATGATTATTAATTACAATAATTATAGAATGATTATTAATAATCTACTCACTTCATTTGAATGCAATGTATGCTTCCATATTTACAGGCCCATTTGTGTAAGTCCATAAGTAAAAGATCAGATAAATGAGACTCATCAGTTAATGATTTTTCAACTACCGAATTGATGAGTTTTAGAACGTGATACTGAAAATGACGAGAATAACAATTAGAAATTACGAAAGTTATCAAAATAAAAAGTAACATGAAAATTACCTTCAATGATTGGAAAATTTCTTTTCCTTCCAATTTATTATGCAAGTATGTTAAACCATTGAAAAATGCACGCCAAGGTAAATAATCATTTTCGTATTTCAAATATTCCGTAGCTGAGAATAGTAAATCGTAATCAACGTATCCGGCTCTAGCAAGATTCATGAGATCGTCTATTAACGCGGCACGATTCACCTTGTGTATCTTATGAAACTTTTGTTGATTCAAAGCATCAATGATACGCTTCCAATTAGCAAGATCATAATTAACACGATAATAACCTACAATGTAATATTTATCTTAATATATATAAATTACGTGTCACGTTGTTTGTTCGCAATGGACTACTAAACTACTGAACCGATTTTAATAAAATTTTTCACACTGTGTGCAGTTTCATTCAACTTGAAAGATACGATAGTTTATATTTCAATTTATAATCGCAATATTATTTTATTAATCGCGAATTATTTGTTTATTAGAAAAAGAGTCATGATTATCTCTGTTAGTTCGATAAGATTCTAACAGATGGCGGTATAAGGTAATTCGTGTGTATCGGACTGATTGTGAGCCACAGCTACTCTCTTTGTCAAGAATCTCTCTTTAAAATGTGATCATACTTACCAGCTTGTTGTATGTTGAAAATTTTCCAACCATCGCTATTGTCCGTCATTATTTGCATTTCATTCTGATTTAACCAAAATTGTGGTTTCGTATTGTCAAAATTAGGATTTTTTTCTGACGTCCATGTGATCGGTATTTCCCAAATATTTTTAACAGATTCACCTTCTTCCTTTCTTAAGAAAAATCGTTCTTGTGATAGAGTTGCCATACCATTTGAATCGATTGTAACATTGACAACAGGATATCCAGCCTGAGTTGTCCATGAATTTAAAAATTTTCTTACACCATTTGCAGACTTTTTGTCAGTTAATTGATTAGAGATAGCTTTGTAAAGATCTTCCGGAGTTGCTATATTGTACTTTCTAAATAATTCAAATTCTTTATAAGATGATAATTATATTAATAATAATCGTAATAAGTGCAATAAATATCTACCGTTCTTCTAAGTAATTTTGCAATGCAGCGTAAAAAACATCACTGCCATAAGTCTTTTCGATCATTCTTATAACACTTCCAGCCTTGGCATAAGTTATTTTATCAAAAATGTTTACTATTTCTGTAGGAGTTGAAACATCATAAGACATAGGATGGCTAGACGTTAAAGCATCTTTTTTAAATGCAGTATGAAGTTCATTTACCACGAATTGCCATTCTAATTCCCATTCAGGTTTTATCTAAAATTTATAATCATAATAATAAAGAAATAATATAATTGAAAAATGATGATAATTGATACGTGTATATGTATTTTGAATTTACATACGTAAGATGTACCGAAGTATTCAAAATATGTTGCAAAACCTTCGTTCAACCAAGCATATTTCCACCATGATGGAGTAACTAAATTTCCGAACCATTGATGAGCAATTTCATGAGATATTATATTAGTTCCAGTTTGAATATCACGAATATTCGTTTCGTTAGATTGTAAAAGTAAATAGTGTTCTCTGAATGTGAGAAGACCCCAATTTTCCATAGCACCGAATGATAAATCTGGTATTGCTATCATGTCGAGTTTGTTCAATGTGTAATTGTGTTTCAATAATTTTTCATAAGTTTTAACAAGAGGTTCCATCAAAGAGAGAGAATAAGATGTTTCATTAAATGAATTAGGTCTAAACCATATTGTATAATTTTTGTCACTTTCATGATATTCGTAATTGAAATCGGAAACCACTAATGCCAATAAATACGTTGACATCAATTCCGTATCTTCAAAACGATACAATATTTTAGTAGTTTTATGATTTCTAAAAATGTCATCAATCATATTTTAAATAATCCTATGAACAATAAATTCGTTATAATAATTAATTATAAAAAATATTTTTTACATTAACTTCTTGATCTCTTTCGGATCGGTATTACTAATAGCATGATAACCATCTGGTACTAAAACTTCCACAGCAAAGATAGCTTTCATTTCTGGCTCGTCAAAACATGGAAACATTTTTCTGGCTCCTACTGGTTCCATTTGAGTAGTTGCTAACCATCTATTCAAAAATAAAATGTTAACCCTTAAAGTGCACACTTGGAAAAAGTTAGTTAAAGTATAGTGTGGGTGTTTGACACCCCAACGTGTTTGAACGCGTCGTCTCCTGAAGCCGCTATTTAATATTTAGATCTCGCAATTTTTTTCAAAGTAATTTCATACATCTTTTTTAAAATAGAATAGGTTTTATACCCATCTGAATGAACACTAGATGGCACTAGACAAATAACCCATTTGTTCGAATTCAGTACCGTTTTCGAGAAATCAAACATTTGTTGGGATGTCAAACACCCCATGTGCACGCACTTTAAGGGTTAATACACGTTGAAATAATTATAAATATTAATGATTTGTAATATAACATTAAACCTTTTATTTCCATCACTGTCGAAGTAATAACTTTTGTAAAATCCTTCCATTGCATTATTCAGATTACCAGTGTATCGGAAAATAATATTCACTTCTGTTTTCTCATTTAATTCATTCTCCAGTTTGATCACGTAAAAATCATAATCACTTTCATAATTATCAGTAATATTAACTTTTTCATTATTGACTATGACATTAACGCTATGTATGGTAATATTGGATGCGTGTAGAACAATTTCATTAGTTTTTTTAACAACCGTAGCTACAATTTGAACGTTACCATTGAAAGTGAAATTGTCAAGATTGAGAAAAGGTTCCAAACTGAGTATATATTTCTCTGGAATGATATTTTTCGGTAAACGATACTCATTGATAATTGGATTATCTGTAAAAAGAAATGTTGCAAAAAATAAGTAGCAATCTTTGATGAAATATTTCATGAATTATATATTATCAGATATTTTACCAGATTCATGATTGTTATCATTTATCCATGAGATAATATGATCAACATTATTCTTGTACCAATTCAATTCGTATTTGGCTAATTCCAAAGAGTTGGTCAATGATTTATTTATTTTAGAAAATTCTGTATGTTTATTAATCAATTTTTCGAATTTGTTTATTAATTCATCCGTAGAAAGATATCGAGATAGTCCTGAAAGTATACTTGCAATCGTATCGTAACTACCATAACTGAAAAATGATAAATAATCATTTTAATATTATCATACACAACGTATTTTTTTTATATAATTATAATTGTATTGACGTATTTACTATTGTGCCATTAAATCGTGATTTTTATCAACGAAATCGAGAACAGTATTAATTCCGATAATGCTTGAACTGTAAACAGCTGAATATACACTGGTACTGTCTTGTTTGCGAATTCTAAATACTTCGTAAGGTGTAATGGCATATCGAAGATATCTAAAATGTAAAGAAATTTTGAAGAAAGTGATTTGCAACGAACAATGAATCAAAATTATCTTCTATCTATCTCACTGTTCTAAGATATCGACATCTTTGCTGCAACCAAGAGCATTTAATACAACCACTTGTTCAGATACAACTTTAGATGTTTTGTAATGATTCCATAAATTTTCCCAATCCTCCGAATCACCATGAAGTATTCCCATACAATATGCTGCCGATCGTTGATTCGGTTCTATTCGATTACTACGAAAGAAAAAAATATATTTCGAATAATTGGGTCTATAATAATCATAGATAAAATGATATCGATTAAAATCTTACTTAGAAGTCGCGTTAATCCAATTTTGGAAAAATTCCAATGAATTAGAAACGCATTGTTCGTGATCAAATTTACATGCTAGATCGTTAAGTTCTCGTCGTAATTGTACAGTTAATCTATCGTCATTTTTTCGATCAACATAACCGAGTTCTTGATAAATATTTTCGATAAGTGATAAAACGTGTTTCTAAAAAAAAGAAAATTATTTTCAAAGACATATGAGTATGTTCGTATGGTCCTATTAACAATCTTTTTTGTTTTATTTTTTTTTAACAAATTAACCTTGTACAAAATGTAATTAGTTTCATCGCCAGAAAATCGTTGAGTGAGATAATCAAGTCCTCTGAATGCAGCTTTGAATGGTAAATAATTTTTCTCTTGTCGAAGATATTGTAAACCATCTAAAGCAACTTGATAATCTAATAATCCAGCTCTAGCAAGATTTAACAAATCATCTATGATACCTGCTCGATTGTATTCGTGTATTTTTGTAAAGTTATTACTATTTAGTGTATCAATAATTCGATACCAAGAAGCATTGTCATAATTGACACGATAAAAGCCTGAAATCAATGAATCGATTCAATTTCTATTGTTCCACGATAGATGAATAGATGAATAATGAATAGATGAAAATAGATAGATAGATAAATTTTACTTACCAGTTTGTTGTACATTGAACACTACCCAATCCGGATCAGAAACATCGATAGGAATCGTCTCTTTTTCATCTTTCATCCAATGTTTAACTTCGGTTGATTCGAAATTCGTTTGCTTTTTCGTAGTACAAGTAATCGGTATCCACCAATTTTTATTTACAGACGTAGATTTGAGATTTCTTAAGAGAAAACGTTTTTGTTGTAACGTTGCTTTACCTTTTTCAATGGTCACTGATAATACAGGAAATCCTGGCTCCTTCGTCCAATTGTTCATAATAGTTTCGATAACAATATTTGAAGAATCAACGATATTTTGAAAAGCTAACCATAAGTTTTCAGGTTTGACGACGCCCCTAGTTTTACTGAAAGAAAATTCATCGAATGTAATGAAATTTTTATAATTATTTTGTACTTGTTGTTATTTTTGTTTATCTTTACCTTTCACGAACATATAATCGTAAAGCTTCATGAAATTTATTAATACCAATAAAATGGCTTAACATACGAATGACACTAGCACCTTTGGCATATGTTATAGAATCTGCAATTCCAGCAATTTGAGATCGATTGTTAACTATTCTTGTCATCGATTGTGAATCTTCAATCCCATCAACACCCAAAGCAGCTTGATGTTGTTCCACTAAGAATTGTCCTTCCATACTCCAAGTATTTTCAATCTATCGATGATTTTCATAAGTAAATCAAATGAAATTACAAAACAAACAAAAAATGAAATCTATTTGATCATCATTACCTTTGCTGTACCAAAATATTGAAAATATCTGGCAAAACCTTCGCTCAACCATAAATAACTCCACCAGGATGGTGTAAGTAAATTACCGAACCACATGTGAGTGATTTCGTGTATAATAACAGAAGCTACATTTTGTTGTGCAACTACTGAACATTCTTTTTCATCATAAAGCATTCGTGATTCTCTATAAGTAATCAAACCCCAATTTTCCATAGCACCAGCGGAAAAATCAGGTATTGCAACCATGTCCATCTTTGGCAATTCATATGGTTGATCGAACAACTTTTGTAAATAGTTCAATGCACTTGTACCAATTTTCAAAGCATAACGTGTTTGATCGAGCATATCTGGTCTTGCCCAAACTGTCAAAATTTCTGAACTATTTTTCGCAAAATCGAATATGGCAAATGCTACAAGATACGTCGACATAGGAACGGTCGTTTTAAAATTGTCCTTAAACAAATCTGATGAACTAGAAATAACACGATATATTTTCTCGTTACGAATGATTTAATAGAAAAATCATTAAAACATTTAAAAAAAAAAAATTTATGAAGCTTATTTCTTACATTTTTTGGGTATTTTCCAAAGGCATATTACTAATACTAGTAAATTCTTTGTATCGTGTCAAACTTATTTTAAATGTTGCTTTGTAACCAGGTTCGTCGAAGCATGGGAAAGCATGTCTCGCGTGTGTCGTTTCAAATTGAGTTGCTGCCAACCATCTATATAAACAATGTTTATTCTTTTTAAAAACAAAAAAAACATAAAAGAAGTTTTATTTAGCTTATATAATGAACAAATAAATTACTTACTTAACCATGTTGTCATCAGTTATATAAGAACTCTTGTAAAATCCTATCATATCATTTCTAAGATAACTATCATAGGTGAATGTTAATACTATTTGATTTCCTTTATTAAGAGTTTTCTTTAATAAAATACTATATTTTTCAGTTTCATTATCATAATTCGTATCTACAATTTCCAATTTGACATTTTCCGCACTAACCGACGAGATTACATTGAATATACTTCCATAATGAAGGACAATTAATTTTGTTGGTTCATCTACTGTAACATTGATTTTGACTTCACCTCGAAACGAAAAATCACCAATTAACTTTGGAAATAGATTAATTTCGTAGGAAGTTGGATGCATAGAATTTGGCAGTCGATAATCTTTCGAAACGAGTTGGTCATCATACGTTTGGGATTCGTCTAAACCTATTAAAAATTAAATTTTATATAATAGAGTGTTTTTTTTTTATATTTGACGTATCAAACTTTTAGAAATTACGATAAAGAATATTAAGCATCAATTTTTTTCGATAAGGGGAACCACATGATTCAAAATAATATATCTTACAATTAGTTCAAAGTTATCGATCAAAATCTGTCAAATAATTAAGTTCGTATAAAAATATATTATCTTTTGCATTGTATTATAACAAGATAAGATGAATACGTTTATAGCATGATCCAAATGGCATGATAACGTGGCAGAAAATTCTAACGTCCCTAAAAATGTTCTGATAAGGTTGCAGACTGCAAAAATTCTTCCTAGGATTTTCATTCAAGTGTCTCATACACCTTTTTTTTTTATCCTTCATAATCTTATAGACAAAAAAAAAGACGATAAATCTTCCAAATCATGGGTTCCGGTTATTTGCATTTGATCCTAATGCTTTTAATGCTTTTCTTCATCGTCCCGAAAAATTTGATACGTTATCACAGAATTAACCTATATATATATATATATATATATATATATATATAT